TGAAATTAAAATATGCTGACACTGCGGCACGTGTAACGGCCAACCGTTTCGGTTTCGAGAACTCTGTTGCAGTATGGACAAATTTAGCTCAGGAAGTTTGGCTCCTGTCGTCAATTTTCTCCAAATCAGGAAAATTAGGATCATTAGCAAAATAAGTCCTAGACCTTCAGACGTCGCAAACCAGTTAGTTTTGTCCTTCAGGTAACCCAAAAGTCGTATGTTTCCAGACGTCATTTCATGGACGAGATCGAGGTTCACTGCCAGACTCTTATTCGTTATTGTAGACAACACGGATGGAAGCACCTGCACACCTGAGCTGCTTGTACTCCAGTAGGTTTGATTGTTGATCGTTATCGTCTCGTTCTTCAGCTGTAGAATATAGGAACCAGACAGGTGTTTAGATATTTTACCTGAACATACACTGCTGTTGAAGTTATCCAGGAATATTGTATCTTCCTTGAGTACTTCAACCGTTGTTTCCATGCAGGTTAAGTAGCGACAACTTGTTTGGCCGCCCTTGAGTAGACGTGGTAAACACCCCTCTTCAGGCAGTAAATCTAGTGACCCCTGTTTGCAAACCATAGCGGTGGCGAGGTGTAGACAGCTATCCTTAATACCATACGTCTGTTGTTTGTTCATTAGGATTGTTTTGTACTTCAAGTCGACTCGATGACCATCCCTCAAAAGTGATCGTGTGATTAAATGGTTGAACCTTGTTTGCGCCACTTTTGGCATGGACAAGACGTATAGTAGAAGGGTGCCGTTGGTGTAGATTGATGGCTCACTATATTCGATGGCTTCGATGACGTTGCTGTACGGAAGGGCTTCGATTTCGCTTATTAGTTGGTTTATTTCCTCCTTATTTAATAGGTTACTGTTGACAACTCCTGCTTTAGCCATTTGACATGCTCGAATCAACTCGTTAACGTCCTCCTTAAGGATCGCTACCTTGTGCTCTATTTCCTGTGAAACTTTAGCCAGGTGGTTGCGTCCCAAAATGTCATTCGTGGCCGTCGCGATTCCATTAACAGCCTGTAATAGCTCTTGAGTTTTCTTGAATATTTCAGAGTTTACCTTATATTGGTGGTTGTTATTGGTTACTAATGCGTCTTGGCTCCGCAGGACTTCATCCCAGTCTAAGGCGTCAAGTGTGCCAGCAATCCACTTCTAGGCTGACCCAATCCAATTGATTGAACGCTTGGGTCTTTTAGGCTTAGGGCCCTTCAGCTCGTCGAGTTGAGTTTGAGTTTTCTCCAACTGATAGGTGATGACGTCAGTGATAGCGTTGGTCTCGTTCATCCTTGAGGTTTCATAGCTTAGACGATTTAAAATTTTATCATAGCGCGTCAAGTCGATCATGTGGACCAGTTTGAAATGTCCGTTGACTATCCAACCGTACCCATCTCGAACAGTTAGAACAGGAGAATCTAGGTTGAATACGACGTATGCTTGTGCGGTTGCACAGAGGCAGATTCTATAATTAGATTCGAAATTGTTAACTTAATCCTACTTTTACCTCCTAGATAGCTTAAAATGAACATCGTAAATAATTTTCTTTTCAGGAATTCAATTTAACTTTCTTTCTTTAAATTACTTCGAAATTAAGTTTTTAAGTCAAATCGAATACAGAACGCTTTATAATTAATTATTTGGAATTTATTTTATTTTTTTTTTGAATCGTGTATGCCGAAATTTTTAACAATAATCCTACAGGAACAATTTAATGTAGTAATTATTTCTTAATTTCTAATACTATCTCTAGTGAGTGGAGCTCGGGAGGATAAGGGATATCAGGAATTCATGGGGACCCAGGTAGTGATGTTAACAGTGGATTTTTTGACGATTAATTTGTTAGTATTTAATTATTAGGATTAGTATCATTAGTACGGGGTAGTATGTTAGACTAATAATTTTAATTTTTATATATTTTTTTGTATTAGTTTCTGCGTGTTAGTAAGCTAGTATTTTTTTCAACTTTTAAGCAGGTTAGTGGTTATTTTTGGTTTTATGGAATGCTTTCCTCTTTTTTTTTTTTTTGTAATATTTCGTGTATTTCTTGCAATTCATTCAAACCTTGCATATTGCTTTAATTTGGTTTTCCATTGCGGCTTTTTCTTGCCATTGGAATACAGACGTAAACTCAGATGACATTGGAAGGCTCGCGGTAATCCCTTTTAGCCATAAGCGTTAATGATTGCAAATGGCCTACTCATGGCACGAGTGACTTCACGTCAATTAAAGTCATAGTCCTCTGGTGGAGTTGAACCACTTCGATTGTCGTCACTCGAACCATCGAGTAAACTGGAATTGAACCAATATGACTTGATCGAATACAAAAAAAAATTTTGTACCCAAACCCCTGGGACTTAAGGATCTATGCATGAGTTTTTTGTCACTTCACCAATGTTGCTTGTAAATATTTTGACATTTATTTATGTCTCATTTGTGGATGTTTCTCCACTTTATATAATAATGGTTTTCTTTTGTTTTAATATCTTCAGATATTTTTTATGTCTGATTTGTGGAATTTCTTTCCACTTTGTGTGACAATAGTCGCATTCCTATTTTCTGCGACAGCTTCTTTTTTATAAAGTGGTTTCTGTTTGCTTTTAATTTGTTTGTTGGCGATGAACAATTCATCACCGCTATTGAAAGTGGGAGAGGGCGAGCGAGTTTTATTATTTCTTGCATTTCAACTTTCTTGCTCATGCAATAAAAGAGCCTTTATGTCCTTATTTGTGTGTTCCCTAAAGTTTGCCAGTTCCTGGTAATTTATTCTAGCAGTCCTGTTAAGGAAAACGTCGGCGGGCTTCCTTTTAATCACCGAATGGATTGTATTATTATATCTATCAACAGATATCGCGACGCGTTCTTTGGTTGTTAGTCTAGGATATTCAGCGCAAAGGCAACGATATATTTCGATCAGTGTAGAATGTAACCTCTCGATCTGACCATTGGCTTCGCTTCGTTGCGTTGGTGTTTTATATATTTCTATTCCTAAGGATCTAATGTAGTTTAATATGAGTGGGGTTAAAAATCCACGTTCATTGTCCATAACTAAAGCTCGTGGTACTGTAAAGTAATGCAGTGCAACTGTTAATTTTGTTCGCAAATGAGTGGAAGATTTGTTCTTTATCGGAAAAAGCTTCGCAAATTTTGTGAATTTATCGATACAGCTCAAGTATTTCTGTCGCTCTATTTCGAAAATACCAATATGTAGGATCTCACACGGATAATTAGGGATAGGGGTTGGCTGCATATACGGCTTTGACGGATGCCTATCATATTTGTTTAATTTACACGTTTCACATTGACTAATGTATTCCCTTATATGTTTAGACATAGCCGGAAAATATAATTTTTCAAGGATTTGTTCCCTATTTTCGCGAGCATTACGATGAGCACGTCTCTCCTCGTGTTCGATTATGCTAAATACCCTATCAGCAATCGTAACATCCTCCACTATGCGCGGCGTGATTCTAATTTTGTATCTGCTGAAATTATTAACATAAGCCCTTTGCAATGCATGGATCGAATCTTCTGGTATTTTAATGCCGTTTATCACATTTGGATTTAGATTTTTCTTTAGGACAGGCACCAGACATTCGCAATTTAATACGGGCATAGTAATAAAGTACCTTTTGTAGCCCATATGAGGTTCTTCACTACACTCGCAACTCGCCCCCTGTCTTAGGATTATTTGGTTCCTAAGCGCATTCATGGGTACCTCTACGTGTGGAATGAGGTCTTAACCATCTTGCTCGGCGGAATGCATTGTGCCTTCTGATGCAGTATCTGTTTCGGATGCCGCGTCAGCTACAGTACACGGCGGCTGAGCGACGATTGAATCTGTGAGTGCATTCACTTCCGTCTTGAGGCGGGACAGTGCATTGGCGACCACATTCGTCTTGCCTGGTTTATAAATCACCTCACAATTGTATTCCTCTATCCGCGCTTTCCATCGCTTGAGCTTGTCGTTGTAATTGCGGTTACTCATGGAAAACGTCAGAGGTTGATGATCTTTGCATAATCCTTAATGAATTTCCTATAGTACGAAGTCATACCCAAGAAACTCTTCAGGTCTTTCAGATTTAGAATCATCTTTATAGCTTCCACCTTTTTTGGGTCAGCTCGTACACCATCTGGAGTAACTACATAGCTAAGGAATTCAACTTCCTTTTCGAAAAAACATGTTTGGTCTAAGTTTACCTTTAAATTTGCCTCTAAGAATCCTGAAAAACCCTTTTCTACGTTGTCTAAATGTTCGTCCGCATCTTTTCCAAATACTATAATGTCATCAATATAGACATAGCATATTTTTCCAATGTATTGTTTCAATGCGTCGTCAATCATTCGTTGGAAAATAGCGGGCGCGTTTTTCAGTCCAAAGGGTAGACGTAGGAACTCGTATTTTCCGTTCATCGTTGAGAAAGCGGTTTTAAGTATGTCTGAGTCCTTCACTGGTATTTGGTGAAAACCAGACGTCAAGTCTATCGTAGAATAATAATTAGCCTGTCCGAGGTTACAAAGCGCCGCGTTTATGTCAGGGATAAGATACGTGTCTGCTATTGTCACTGTGATTAACCTCTTGAAGTCAATCACCATTCGATATTGCTTTTCCCTATTCACCTTTGATATTTTCTTTTATAATCGGCTAAGTTTGCTCTTGAGATTAGAGTTTTGAGTTGATGAAGTCCGGTCGATATATTCACGTGAGAATAGTAGGTGAAGTACCAGCGGGGTCATCATAGTTATTAATTTATGTATTTTTAATTTATTTAGTTGCCTGAGGGTCTTCGGGGTCACAGGACTACTTTCAACAATTTTATACCCATTACTGTCATTAAGGACCAGCAGGGTGTGGACGTAATAATTTATAACCTAAGCCCGAGGTTCCTTCGGGGTCACGAGCCTCGGCAGTTTTAATTTAAGTTTCCTCCTTGGCTGTGTCAGCCTTTGCACTCAAGTTTTATTTCAATCATTTCACCTCTTCTAGGAAGAGGAGCTTTTATACCCTGGAGTGCCCCGTGGGGATCGCAGAGCTAAGCTTATGTTATAAACCTGAGGGCCTCTATACCCCACGGTTTTTCAAATATTTTTTTATGCGGATGTACAAGCCTTAATTTAAATGCACCTTAATTTAGGTCTTATTATTTTTTCATTTTCAATTTTCACTTTTTCGTTTCCACTTTGGCACTGTCACCTTTAAACTGTTCCCAGTCACTAGCACAGGATATCAAGTCTGTCGTAGTATAGGTATTGGTTTGTCGAAGGCTACGTTATGTCACGTTAGAGTCGGGAATGGCTAGTTTCAGTGATCGTTCTTGAATTTATGATGTTCTTGAAACACGCGGTTTCAATTTGAAAAATTCCTCATCAAAAAACACTATCCTACACTTGCTGCCTATTTGATATACCGTCAAACCGGTAGGTTCAGGGCATGAACATATTGGACACTCCACGTCCGCGCAGTCGACTCCACGTGGCCCATCAATCGAGGCTGCTGTCGCTTCCGCGCTGATGGAGTTCATGTGGGTGAATCGTGTTTCGAGCGAATCCATCTTTCCCAGCATTGCCTTGAAAGCACCTGACAAGTTAGTAACGGTCTCTTTCAGGTCCTTCATGGTATCAGGGACTCCAGAAATGTCCCTCAATTCCGCTTCAGTAGTGGGGGTGTGAGCCACCACCCCATCTGCTGGTTCGACTAAGGCGTCAGCTCCTAGTGTTACAGGCCTACCGTGAGCCGCGTCTATGTGTGCCATGCGCCTTTCTAGTGTGTAAATTTCTCCTACAAGAGCATTGACAGCACCAGTTAAATTTGCTACGGTCGTTCGTAGTAACGGTCTCTTTCAGGTCCTTCATGGAATCAGGGACTCCAGAAATGTCCCTCAATTCCGCTTCAGTTGTGGGGGTGTGAGTCACCACCCCATCTGCTGGTTCGACTAAGGCGTCAGCTCCTAGTGTTACAGGCCTAC